CTTGCCTGACTGCATTGTGTCTAGTGTAAAGTTTGGTGGAGTGGGGATGATGGTGTGGTGTTGCCTTTCAGGAGTTGGGCTTGGCTCCTTAGTTCCAGTGAAAGGAACTCTTAATGCTGCAGCATTCAAAGCCATTTTGGGCAATTTCCTGCTCCCAACTTTGTGGGAACAGTTTGGGGATGGCCCCTTCCTGTTCCAACATGACTGCGCACCAGTGCACAAAGCAAGGTCCATAAGGACATGGATGAGCGAGTCTGGTGTGGAGGAACTTGACTGGCTTGCACAGAGCCCTGACCTCAACCCGATAGAACACCTTCAGGATGAATTAGAGTGGAGACTGTGAGCCAGAACTTCTCGTCCAACATCAGTGCCTGACCTCACAAATCCTCTCCTGGAAGAATGTTAAAAAATTCCCATAAACACACTCCTAAACCTTGTGAACAGCCTTCCCAGAAGAGCTGAAGCTGTTATAGCTGCAAAGGGTGGGCCAACTCAATATAAAAGCCTATGTATTAAGAATGGGATGTCATTAAAGTTCACGTGTGTGTAAAGGCAGGTATCCCAATACTTTTGGCAATATAGTGTATCTTATAGCCTTAACAAGCCTGACAATTGTCCTCTAACCGATCTTATTAACAAGGTGTTTTTGGCTACAGATCTCTCAATTACTGGATATTTGTGTTTATCATACCTTTTTGTGCAAAATTGATACATTGTATCACTGTAGTTTTCGCTGGGGGCTTCGGTTTCCTCCCGTGGTTCAAAAGCATGCAGGATAGGTTGATTGGTGAGTCTAAATTGGCCTTGTAAGTGTGTGCGCCCTGTGATGTGTTGGCGACTGCCCGGGATTGGTTCCCGTCTGTGCCCATTGTTCCCGGGATAGGCTCCGGTCCCCTCTGCGACCCCAGTTGGGATTGAGAGGTTTCAGAAAATGGATGGATGGATGGATCACTGTATTATGTGAAAATCCCAGTAGGATGAGTGTTCCTAAGATTCTAAGTGACCACCATATTGGGCATCCGCAATCATGCCAAATGTAGTTTGACATATCTTACAGCCTACCTGCTGTACAAGCAGGAATTCTTAATAAATGGCCATTTAGTCTCTGTAGCTGCAGTAGTTCAGCCATGAAGATTAATTTGAGGAATTTAATGTGGTTTCTTGATAGTGTAAACTCTTTTTCAGCATGACTGAAAAATACGCCTTCCTTTTTGCATCAGAATTTTAGATCCATTTTTTGGTTACCAAATGGTGCCCTGCAAGGACTGCAAGGTAAACTATTATTTTCAGAATAGTCACAAGAAATATTAAAAGGAGCTTGTGCCAGCTTATTTTATAGTCGTCCAATACCCCAGAAGTGAGGCCAGGCCAGTTTTTACTTGACGTAAATGCGCGCGCAGTGATGTGTTTGCAGTGCTGGGTTATCCACAATCCTGAATGTTCTCACTTCTTGCGCCAAAATAATAATACTGCTGATGCAAAAACATACGCAGGGAGTTGCAATACAAACGTGTTTTATTTTTGTTTGTAGCCATCTGGGAGTCTTTATAATCCTGTAGCAAGGAATCACATAAAAGCTGGAATTTCCGGTTTTCCTCAGCCAATCATTCTTCAAACCCGCTGGCCATATGTACAATATTTGGTCTGACTACTTTATGACTTCCTGCTACTTTTCCCCTGACCAATGAACGCTCAAGGTTTGCTTGCGCTACTGAGCGGAGCTTCTGCATCGTAGCAATTTTTGAGTGTTCATGGCCCACGCGTGACATCCCTGTGCAGTGCTCGAGGTCAGCCCTATGACGAAAACTACATCGCAATCGTTGCGTGCGCTGTTGCGCTGCTGTGTTCATGTGAAGTAAAAACCAGGCTAGTCTTGCCTGGCTGGATAATTGTTTTGACAAGCAATGTTAAAATTAGTCAAGGAATTTCTGAATTGTTTATCTAAAAAAGTAAAAAAAAGAAATCTTACTGCAGCAATGACATCACTGTATAGGAATGCAGTCACTTGACCCCTGCCCTGTCATGTAAAGTATGTCTTCAAGACTCCCCAATGTGGCCTGCGCATGAAGTCCAGTGGATTTTTGTTGAAGTTCCCAATAAACTTCTGGGAATTGATACATGGTTATTATGTTCTTCCTGGATCCAGATGTTTGCACGGTACTTTGATTTGAGCAGGAAACAAAAAATATTGTCTTTTCCCACTGGGTTTACTGATTACCTCCTGCAGCCACTAACACAAAGGCATTTTAGCTGCAGTTCCCTTTGAAAAGCTGGTTTGCTCTCCTGGGAATGTAATCATAAAAGCTTATGGTCTGCAGTTCAGTTCCCTTACCGCCACATTTCCTGCTGCATGTAATTTTCTCTCTGTAAATCTAGCTGAGACATTGTTTATGACGATACCGATTCTCTTACATCTGTCACTCTCTTACATGTCATATAAACCAACAGCGATCCTAATACACCATCTTCTGAGCCAAATATGAGAACTTAAGATGTCCTTATGTATTGTTGGATTGTGCTTGCTTCAAACTTAAATGGCACCAGTGATTTCACAGCCTTAAATGTAATAAAGTGTTACATTTTATTTTTCTGTTAGTCGTCTTGTGTGCACTGCTTTTGCAATCCAAGTTGGCCAAAAAAGAACACCGTTCCAAAAATCAAACAAAATATATGAACATGTTTTTGGAAAATTCTTCTTATGTGACTGAATTCGTCTTTTCACCTAAAGGGGCTTTGTCTTCCATGGTTCCTATTGCATCACTCTTCTGACCAGTGAGAGCTGGTTTACGGAATTCTGGACTTTGGCATGATAAATAAAGTCAGAATTTCCCCCCTTCTGCTTCCTTACTGCGACCACTGTTCTGCTGTTTCCCTGCAAAGATGTTTATGGAAATTAATTGAGCCTATAAAATATTGCACTGATTTTTTTCACACCACTGTTATTAGGCAAGACGACAAGATGTTCATGCCTTAGAGCCCATCTTTGAATCATTCCCAACAGAATGGTTTCAGAAGGAAACATCTCAGTTGTACAGTATTAACCAGCATTTTCTCACCAACAAAAAGGAATAAATGACTTTTTGCCTTAAAAGCCCATAATAATTGACCTCTAGTAGAACGTGACTCCTAATTTCAGCCTTATTAGCTGTTACTGTTTCTTCAATTACACACACACACACACACACGCACACAGGTTTGTAATTATATATTTGTGGGGACTCTCCATTCATTTCTATGGGGAAAACTCTAATCCCAAAAATTACATCCTTAACCAAAAATAACCAAATACAAGATTTTTGCCATTCTTAGTTTTTTGATTGCATTCACAGAATTTTATCAAATTGAGTTTCCCCACAAGGTCAAAGTAACAGGTTTTAATCATATTGAGGGGGACATTCAGCCCCCACAATGTAACCCTACAATGTAATATATACATGCCGACACGCACTCATTCCACAGCCCATGTTCACCCTGCACATGCAGATTGATTGCAGGCGGAGTCTGCTTCCAGATCATTCATTGGCTATACCATCTTCACTGCAACCGCCCAGAAAGACAACGCACTCCATCCCATGTTCCCTACGGAATGCATCCTTACTGCATCGCACATTCATCACCAGAAGTTTTATAAAGCGTTTTCCCATTTCCTCCAGGAGCGGATTTGGAAATCTTAATTCGAGTCAAGCCCCGGAGGAGAAGCCAACTGGATACATGTCCGATGAGATGGGAATCCCCTCAGGAAGGCAGCAGTGTTTGTCCAGCTGAGAGCTGGGATTAGATAGTCAAAGATATGGAGGAGATGAACAGCAACAGTGAAGCATTTCTGGAGACTCAAGTTTGCAAAATTAGCCTTGCATGATGATCCTGATAAACACAGATAAGTCATCTTACAACCTGGTCTTTGGAGACCCCCAGACAGTCCACGTTTTTGCTCCCTCTTAGCAAGAATGTGGACTGTCTGGCAGGGAGCTGGGAGGGAGCAAAAATGTGGACGGTCTTGGGGTCCCCAAGTATCGTGTTGGGAAACTCTACCCTAGACCTCACAACTGTCTACTGGTCTATGGACCTAATCTGACATGCCATGCATTTAATTTCCTCCCCCTTGTGAACCTTCTTTGGGGTGTCGTGCGTAATTTCAGTCTCTTTCCACAAGGCAGAACTTGAAAATGAAAATAAATATTGGTATTCCGTTGCTCCATCACCCAGCGGGTATTGTTGTCCCGTCTTCTCTCTGCACAATAATTACTTCCTCCTCTTCTAGCGAACAACATCCAGCCCAGAGAACAGAGAGTTATGAACTGTTATCTGATGGATCACTGCACGCTGACTCCTGGTAAGGAGTCCCACCCTGACTGTGTCATAGTCTGACAGGGGCCCCCACGTGGGTTTGATCTCGCTCACGTTACGTGCTTGGCGTGGCAGGTTATGGAATTTAATTGTGACACATCCAGAGTAAAAAAAATCTCAACACCCCTTTTTTGTACCGCACACACAAAACCAGTGACTCAAATTTTTAACACGCTATTATCTCGTAGTTGGGGGTGTGGTCTCTCTTTATGCACATACATGCTGCTGTGAAAGCTGCCTGCATGGATTTGTGGGTGTGGCCCTTTCTTATTAGTTCTGGGTGTGAGCTCATCTGCACCCATGTGCATCTGTTTTCGCTCCATGTTTATGTTAAGTGCCTCGGTTGCTATGGTACCGGTTACCGTATCTAGCCGCTAAGAGGCATGCGGACTCATGCAGCTACAATGGAGCATTAAACCGACAGGATGGCTTGAGAACAGAGCTGGGGTTGAAACCTAACGTGGCTCCTCCATTTAAGGCATTTGTCCTGTTGCTAACTAAAGGAGCCTCTTTGGTGAGTCTTCAATGCAAGGAGAGAGCCTTTCGGGAACCAAGCACTGCATGAAAAACATTTTCCCTGAAATAAAAAAGAAAGAACTTGACTCACTAGTTTGGCCCCAGGAGTAACCAGGCAACTGCACGACAACAACAACGGAAAACCGCGGCTACATTAATCTCTGCAGACCTTGGGTGATTTTATTGAAGCCAGGGCGGTGTTTGTGGGCCACTGCCTGCAGTGAATTACTCCATAGTTCCAGACTCAAAAATGCAGTGGGAAGCACCTATCCCTGCTCACGGCCGGGTTATTTTACCCCGGGTCAGTCGTGTCACCGGGTGGTGACCGGTGTTTGTGTACGGTCCCAGCGAGTGTGTCTGCTGTGACACTGAGCTCATTGTGCTTCAGTGAATAGCTGAGCAGGCCGCACAATGCCTCACTCTGGGGTGTAATAACAAACCAGCTTTGCCCTCACGAGTGCATAACAACCGCCATTAACCAGGGAGGGAGAATGACTGGATTAAGAAATCATTGTATCCGGCTGTGTTGCACTAACAACCCTGATGCCTACAGAGCATTTTTAGAAATAGTTTTGGGTTTGGTACAGTCTGTTATCACACTCCATTCAAATGTAGGGTTAAGATCTCACGGTTGTCTGTTTGCCTTGTTTGCGTATGTTGACACTTAAACATACATTTCATGCATGTGCATTTTAAAGCCAGATTTGAGGTTGCATGCAAGGCGGTTTTGTGGTATTTTATCCGTGTTTTCATGTCAGAATGTGCAGGGGAAGGCAGTGGCATGTATGTTTTGCATTGTGTGAAAACACTAATTCCACTCCATAGATTTTTTTTTCCAGTCATTTACTTCCTGGGTAAGGAGAGAACCTTAACGTTATTGGTGCTGAAGAGAGAGGCAGCTAGCAAGGCGGACATCCTGCTCAGATCCTGTATGGGTCAGACGCCACGGAAGAGGAGGCTGCAGCTTTGTGCCCTGGTAGGCCCTGCTGTGAACCGCCTGCCCATCGACAATGCCGGCTCATACGCTCCTGGCCCGGGAGTTTTCTGAGAAAACAAAGGCACCGGTAGGATATGAGATGTGACCCTCCCTGAACGCAATGATGCTATCATTTCATCCTCTCTGGGACAGATGAGCTGTATTATATTCAAATGGGAACATAAATACCATCACTTCAGATGCTGGGATGAATCAAGAACTGATGTCAACAGTCCACAGAAGCTACCTTTTTATACATGATTCAAAGTTTGTTTCTTACTATGAAGTTTGGACTAAATTTGAAACAGGGTTTATTATATAGTCATGTAGCCTCTTTTTCGGGCCCGCCATGGTAGAGGAAGCATCGTGAAGTGTTACGCATACCAAGGGTACGTTATGAAGGCGTGGCACCGTAGACAGGAAACAGGAAGTGATGCCACGGCTGGGTTGAACCCTCAAGTCGTAGTGTCCGGGGCCCGGTCCTTCTCTCTGCATGGTAGGGTATTAATGGAAATTAACATCTCTAGTCTCTGTGAGGAAAGAAGTGCAAGTGCGGCGGCGGTAAAGGTGTCAAACTTTTTCTGCTGTTGATTACAAAGCAAATAACCAGTTGTAAAGTTTCACTGGGTATAGCCTGAGTTCACAAATAATCCTTTTAATAGGCTTTGCTTGATTTCATGTGATGTCTAAGGGAAACTTTGTCCCCATGTTTTGTTTTTAAACAAAGGGCATTTGCACTTTTTTATTGAACTGAAAATGAACTGAAATATCCAGATTGGTATCTTTAAATTTTCCGGATCAAGGAAAGACTCTCAAATCCACTTATCTGTCATTTTAAGGCCGTCCTACATTCTTCCTCAAGCTGTGATGCAGCCCATGTAAAGCTCTAAAAATGAATGTGTCCTAGACCCAAACTGCAGTGTGGAAGTTCCATCACATCCCAGGAATTCACTCCTGCGTGGAAAACAGGATGTAAGCAAACTGTATGGAATGCTATTAAGTTCCAAACAAAGGTGCAGTTATGTGTGTGTGTGGGGGGGGGGGGGCGTCAGCTGGCCTAAGTGGTTCTGATCCTCCAAATCAGGCTCAAGATGGACAACCCGCCAGACGTGTGCATGGTGTGGCCAGACCAGCATTATGACCATCTCCTCATGGCTGCCGAAGTCTGCTTCTCCTTGGTTTCTTCACCGTCAACCCATTACCCTGAGAGGTGGAACCCAGACAATGGACGGCCTCATCACATGTTCACTGTGAACTTCTGGCTTCTCAGTTCTGGGAATTCTGGCTGGTCCACTGTGTCTGTCCCTCACCTGAGTTGGTGTCCATGTGTTGCTTAATTCTTGGGTCTCTCACTTGCTCACAAGCACCCCCTGCCCCTCACTAGGTCTCCCCCAAATCAGGCCGCTGGATGTCATCACCGCTGACATTAGCGGCTATGTGAAGAAATATCAGCTTGGTGAGTATGTCACTTCAGTGGTGACACAGTTCATGCTTTCTGTTCACGGAAGGAGCTCAGAGATCCACTGAGTCAGAATGCCTCAGTCGAACACCCGCCCCCCCCTCCACCCCCCAGGGAATATTCTCTGTCAAAGTGTCTTCTTTCCTTCCTTTTGTCTAATTTTGTCCCTCTCTTCCTCTCCTCCTGTGTGGCTCACACAAACTCAGCACACAATCTGCCTTGCACACACCCCCCACCTCCATGGACTTGAACTCTCTCATACACTAATTGCTTTCCTCTATTTTCAGCCTACTCCTCCCTTCAAGTCCCCTGATTCATGCCCCCCCATCCCCCCTCCAAAACACACAGTCAGGCACACATGGACTACACTGATTCCTCTCTCCATTTCTTCCTGGACACAGAATAGTATGACCAATAATAAATAAGATTATTTCATCCCTAACCAGCGCCCATATGTGCCAGACTGTCCTCGGCCCCCCACCTTATTTATGATGAGATTCATTATGTGTGAGAGCTTGTGTTGGGGGGGGGGGGGGATACTCCCTCATACTGCGCCAGTCCCTGCAGAGCTGCTAACTGACATCACATACCATCTGATTCCTGCCGGTGGATCACTTGATCTGCGCCCCCACCCCTTCCTGCGGTGTGCGGGAGTCGAGGCGGGGGATCGGTGTTAATTCGGGCTTATGTCATAAGCGGCCTGTTTGTTCGGCTTTCCCCGAGACGCCTCTCTGCCCGATCTCACGCTCCCCCTCCGCAGAAGGACTGCATGGGTGTCTTGAATCGGCCTCCCTCCTTCTTCGTGTCATCCTGCCATGAGGGTGTGGCCCGAAGGCACCTACGGCAGGCCGGCCCGACCTTCCACAGCTTCTAACCGTTCGTAATTGTGAGGATTCTGAAACGTCTCCATTTCACCTGCTGCTTCGCTAGGGCCGAGCAGCTGCTGGCAAAGCAGCGGTGGCCTGCTAGGTCACTGCACAGGAGCATGTGAATAGTATTACCTGCAGTCCTTAGTGCTGGGGTGGGCCTGCTTGCAAAGGGTGAGTCAAGATGGGATTGGGTGGGAACGGGGTGGGCGGGGCTGATGGGAATGTACCATAGTGGTATGTGATAGGATTATGTGATTGGGCGGTGCAGAGAAGGACAGGGTTAGCATTTGGCTGATTGGGAGACGTCAGAATTGTGACTGCTACCCGGCAAATAGTGTTTGGTGACTTTGAGGAGTTATATTCAATGTTATCAAAGCATCAAACAAGTCACTGTAGAAGGAGCTTCAGGGAAGTGAACTGGAAAAAAGATGATTGAAAGAAGAGCTTAATTATTAACTAAATGAAGTGGTTAGTAACATGTCCAGCACAGATTCTGCCCTTATGTGGCCGACCATAAATTCAAGAGTTATCATACAAAAACACAAAATCAGCAACAATTAATCCTCTTCTGTTTACCACTTTCAAGAAGCGTCAGACTTCAGCCTCTGGAGAATCCTTGACATCTGCATCGATTTGTTTAATTAAACTGCCGGACCTGTGATTTCGGGTGATTAGCTCGAGATGAAGAGATTTCTGCAGTAGGGCTATTTAATTATGGAGTTTTCTGCTGCCCTTTCACTGTTCAGAGCTCAGAAAGAATAACTGGGCTCAGTTTGGTCAGTTAACTGTCCGATGGTGCTATTACCCAACTGGAAATGCATCGGTACTGGTAACCAAATAACTCAGTTCACTGATACAGCAGCTCATCATTTTCTATTTACTATTTTGACTCTTTGCCACTTCAATACTCAGTCATGCTTTGAGCAGAAAACAGCTGGCAGAGAGGGCCACGCCTCGGATAGCCCTCAGCTGCACGCCTCGTAGCCCTCTAGGCTCTCTCCTGTCGGGCTGATCTGCAGCCGCGTCCTCAGGAATGGCCGGCATCGCCCTTTCTCTGAGGCACCAGACCACAGACGACATTCCTCTTGCAACTGGCACCAAGGCAGGGCCGAGATTATATTAAGCGTATAAAGCGTATACCGATCTATCACAATACCAGTACACCAGTCAGAGAGAATACCAGTCACCAGAATATCAGTACACCAGTCAGAGAGAACACTATTGAACTAGATTGCCAGCCCACCACTGAACCAGAAAATGCACGGAATGCCAGTCTTCCAGAAAACCAATAAACTGCATCAGTTAGCCAGAGTACCTGCATGTCAGTCAAAATACCCGCACCCACCACATATATTTAAAAAAAAAAAAAAGTTTAAAATAGTTGTTATTTAATACTTGAAATTATTTCTGTAATTGCTGTTCTGTTATTACTGGGATATGATATCATTATGACAATCATCACTGTCATCATATTCATTTGTTTATATAACAAATGCATATCATTGAATGGATTCTGCAGTGTCACACTGGCCTGGAGCCCTGAATCATGTAAGATGAATACTCACCGGGGGTGGGGGGGCGCGCTTCACAGTTGAGCGAAACATCGGATGCCTGTAACGGGAGGGGGCACATGGGGGGGGGGTGGGTTTAGCCAAGAATGAAGCCATAGTGGAGGCAAATGCTAAGGGTATGTGGACAGTAAATTTGGAGGGGGGGGGGCGTTCTTACTTGCTGGGTAGTTTGGGAACAGGTTTCTCTGTCACGTCGTAGTGACACGGTGAGAGGTCGACGTCCTGAAACGGATACAGATCAGTCGATCCGGGCCGCGTGACTGTAAGCCGAGCCTGAGAGTCCGGGCCGCCGGCACTGGCTGCCAGAGAGAGCTGAATGTTTCATGTGGCTGAGTGGGTTTCTGCCAAATTGGGAAGGGGGCGGCGACGCAGGTGCAGACCTGCCTGAGGTTTGAGCAGGATTCTAATGCAGGGGCACATCGCTTGCGACGCTTTCTCCGTATTATTTTATTCTTTTTGATCACTATCTGGTTATAGTGCTGGGAAACCAGGAGGGAGGGCTTGGCCGGGTGGGAGGGGGGGGGGGGACTATGGTCAGGCATTAGGCAGCCTCACATGCTGTTTGAGGCTAGCTACTTGGAAGTGATCTAATCCAACGAATAATATCGTGTTTAAACATAGTTACATGTTTAATGACGCTAAGGGTGATTTACACAAATCTGAGTATTTCTTATTTTAAAGAAAAGCATTATTTAGATAAATATGGAACTTTAGCTAATTTTTTATTTATACTTGCGGCATTCAGTTCATCATTTCAATAAGGGGAATGAGTCAAATCTCATTATTCAGCTAAACTAGATATGGAAATGCGTCATCTCGGGTCTACAGTGTACGGCTAGATGATTTTGGTCTAATGGAGATGGAGTAGGCGCACCTTGTCTCTGATGCCCAGCGTGTGGATCTGTGGCCGGGGACAGCTCTTGAAGACATAGGAGGCAGGCCGCTTGAGAGCCTCCTGGATGGAGCCAATGTTCTCGTAGGCCCCCGGCAGGAGCAGCTTCCCCTGGCGCCCACAGTGCACGGGCACCTTCCTGCCCTGGCCGCCAAACCCATACGTCACCCGGACAGGGTTCAGCTCGGCCTCTTCCATAAAGTCCCGGATGTGGTAGCTCCCTGGGTTGGGAGAATCCTACAGAGTGAAGATGTGCATTGCCATCAACGGACAGCTAGACTGGCTCCTTGGCTGAAACTGCATGCAATATATCATTTAAGTGTATTTTTAACCTCAGATTGGACGCTGTCTCTTCAAGCAACCTCCCCCAAGTCATGGCAAAGATAAATCCAGGCTATATCCCCCCAGCTTCTTGGGTTTTATGTAGCAGGTGGGACACTCAAGATTCATGAAAAGGGTAAAAGACAAACCTTCAAGGTACATCTCCACCAAGCTTCTCTGCCCGTCATGTCGCCTGTGTGCTTGCTCTGTGGGGAACATTGTCATCAGCAGTAGCGGCTACTGAAGGTGCATCATGGTTGCTCACAGATACCTGTGACGCTAGGCGACTTTGCGGACTATAGATCATTAATATCTAGGCAACAGGCCACAAACTCCAAGTCGCACCTGTCAGGCACTGTCAACCTGACCATACATGGACAAACGCATCCGTGGCAAGACTTGTCTGTGTCCGTGGCAAAATGTTTTGTTTCAGAAAAAACAACTATATAAGCCACGTTTTTAAATGCCATATCCAATGCCAAAATTCATCATGGTGTCGATCCTGTCAATAGTACACACTAGTGGCCAAAATTGTAGAAAAAAAATCACTAAACGAATATCGATCGGTACTGCTGATAAACCATCAACGAATGTTAGTTATGTAATCTCTAAAAATTATGTGTTTCCACAATTTTGGCAACTAGTGTACTTTCCACTGCACCGTGTGCTGTAGCTTTGGGATCAGCATCGATTACAATCAAGATGAGGGTCTGAGCATTTGGCGTGAAAGACGGTCCCTAGGAATTGATCAGGAATTGGTTCAGGGTCCTGGAGACGTTTGCTTTTGAGGCATGTTGACTGCTAATACAGTAGTTCTGCTTGGTTTAATCCTGACAGGCCCTGTGATCTAGGCGTTTGTCCTCGAACACAAAGTCGCTTCCGGCACAAATGTTACCATGAGCTCAGGCCTCCGTCGATCAGATGATGGAGAGAGATGTGGAGCACCTCTACCATCAAGCACTGATCCTCTTGTGATTATGCACTGGAGTGACAGAGGCGCATTCCCAGAGTGGTACTGAATGACCCCTTAGTTCCAGCCCCCAAGCTGAGTGTCCTAAAGGCTCCTCTGCATGGCTGAGCCTGCAGCCTGCGGTCAGTCACCATCTTCCTTGTGTTTAGAGGACTGCAGGGCCATAGCTGAGGGGCACCCAGGAGTCACTCACCCTGCCGGGGCCACAGCTGAGGGACACCCAGGAGTCACTCACCCTGCCGGGGCCACAGCTGAGGGACA